GACACAATATTGGTACATGCTTAGTGATATATCACAATACTAGAGACACAATATTGGTACATCCTTAGTGATATATCACATTACTGGAGACACAATATTGGTACATCCTTAGTGACATCACATTACTGGAGACACAATATTGGTACATCCTTAGTGACATCACAATACTAGACACAATATTGGTACATGCTTAGTGATATATCACAGTACTAGAGACACAATATTGGTACATCCTTAGTGATAGATCATAATACTAGAGATACAATATTGGTACATGCTTAGTGATATATCACAATACTAGAGACACAATATTGGTACATGCTTAGTGATATATCACAGTACAAGAGACACTATATTGGTTCATGCTTAGTGATATATCACAGTACAAGAGACACTATATTGGTTCATGCTTTGTGATATATCACAGTACTAGAGACACAATATTGGTACATCCTTAGTGACATCACAATACTAGAGACACAATATTGGTACATCCTTAGTGATGTATCACAGTACTAGAGACACAATATTGGTACATGCTTAGTGATATATCACAGTACTATGGACACAATATTCGTACATTCTTAGTGACATCACAATACTAGAGACACAATATTGGTATATGCTTAGTGATATATCACAGTACTTGAGACACAATATTGGTACATCCTTAGTGATATATCACAGTACTAGAGACACAATATTGGTGCATCCCTTTATGATATATCACAGTACTAAAGACACAATATTGGTGCATCCTTAGTGATATATAACAGTACAAGGGACACAATATTGGTACATCCTTAGTGACATCACAATACTAGAGACACAATATTGGTACATCCTTAGTGACATCACAATACTAGAGACACAATATTGGTACATCCTTAGTGATATATCACAATACTAGAGATACAATATTGGTACATGCTTAGTTATATATCACAATACTAGAGATACAATATTGGTACATGCTTAGTTATATATCACAATACTAGAGACACAATATTGGTACATGCTTAGTGATATATCTCAGTACTAGAGACACAATATTGGTACATCCTTAGTGATATATCACAATACTAGAGATACAATATTGGTACATGCTTAGTTATATATCACAATACTAGAGATACAATATTGGTACATGCTTAGTTATATATCACAATACTAGAGACACAATATTGGTACATGCTTAGTGATATATCTCAGTACTAGAGACACAATATTGGTACATGCTTAGTGATATATAACAGTACTAGAGACGCAATATTGGTACATTCTTAGTGATATATCACAATACTAGAGGCATAATATTGGTACATGCTTAGTGATATATCACAATACTAGAGACACAATATTGGTACATGCTTAGTGATATATCACAGTACTAGAAACTCAATATTGGTACATCCTTAGTGATATATCAGTACTAGAGACACAATATTGGTACATGCTTAGTGACGTATCACAATACTAGAG